AATAAATTAACCTTTGAAGTTATAGAAACCCACTGGATGGCCTTGGAGAAGTCACACTCCCTCAACCTCAGAGGAAAGCAATGACAAGCATCCTGTAAATAAATATTGTCTAGAAAACCCTATAAGAAGGGTGCAGTATTTTATAGTTCACTTGGAGGTACTTAAGAAGTACAATAACATGTAGTTCACCCATAGATTTCTCTTGTATTGATTTAATTCTTACCTAAACACAAAGCTAAAGGTTTCTCCTTGACATTAAGTCTAGGTGTGTCCAACTCTGGAGGGTGATGCTCATCTCTATTTCCAAACCAAAGAGCCAGCATTGTCCGTAGACACCTGCAAGGCCATGTAGATGGTATGACTGCATGGGACATCATTACCTTCCCACCGGAGTGATACCTATTGATCTACTCACATTTGCATGTTTTCAAACTGCTAGGTTGGCAGAAGCTGGGGCTAACAGCGGGAGTTCACCCCACTCCCCAGATTTGAACTGCTGACCTTTTGGTCAGTAAGTTCAGCAGCTCAGCGGTTTAACCCACTGCATCATCTAGACACTACAATAACACATTTTGCTATACCTGCACAAAAGTAACAAAAATTGCATGAAAAGTTTGTGGTTTTGCAAGGATGTGACCCTATGACTGAAGAGGGCTGCAATTCTAGTATGAATTATAGTATGAAGAAAACTGCAGCTTCTTTATTTGCCCATGACGGTGCAAATCCAAAACACAGTTCTGGAAGAAGTGCTTGAAGGTGCATTAAAAAAAACTCATTAGAAGTAGTTCCACCAGTATTGTTACCACAAGGAAAAAATAGTAAAGGGCAAATTATATAGAATTATATAACCGGTATTCCTAAAAACCCTGAAGGTAGGTGAAAATCTGAGGCATGAAAGCAGAGCCTCTAAGAGAAATTTGTACAAGAGTGCTTTCAGGTCCCGGAAGGGAGGGAGCTCTTCTCAAAATTGAGAACATAAGGTCTTTTAAGCCTCTTCCAAACAGCTGTATAAAATCTACATTGAACTGAATTAGATGGCAGTGCAGACTCTAATAATCCAGTTCAAAGCAGATGTTGTGGATTATCTGCCTCGATTTTCTGTGTTATATGGCTGTGTGGAAGGGCCCTCTCATTTCTATTAACTATTTTTAATAAAGAACGTGACATATCAAAGTTGTACACAATATAACATGGAATTTCAAAGCCATTGTTGAAAAATGTGATTTTAATAAAATATGAACAAACTAGACAGTTTGTAGTGTCAGAAATTCATGGGCTTTGCCTTGGCTCCAGGATCTGGAATGATGGACCACCTGAAGCCACCACCATATAGGTCTTGTATTAGAGTCCTAGGTGAAAAGAGAACAAAAGTTCCAATTTCTTGGATTCAGTTCAATAATAAGACCAGGAACCAATGCAAGATTGGGTTTATTATGCAGTGATATTATCAAGGACAGTAATAAGGAAGTGAAAGGTACATAATGTAAATAACTTTGCAGACCAGAAGTTTAATGGCAAACAGCAAAGAAGTTGAGATCAAACACCACTCTGTCAGCCACCAATATTTATTCATTGGCCTTTACCCCCCCCCCCCCCCTCATTCTGTGTCCCAACAAAACCTCTGGAAGGAGGAAACTTTATTTATTTTTATCTTTGATATGGAGCAAAACATCTGAGTTTAGAGGAAGATGTCTATTAGAACATAGAAGTAAATYYTCTTCCCCAAAGCCACTATTGCAAGAACAGGTTGTTGTAGTTTTTTTGGACTGTGACTGACTTAGAGGTTGTGACCTCACAATCTCTGAGGATGCCTGCCACAGATGCAGGCAAAATGTCAGGAGAGAATGCTTCTAGAACATGGCCATATAGCTCGAAAAACCTACAACAACCCAGTGATTCCAACTATGAAAGCCTTCAACAATACATTGCAAGAATAGTTATGGTTCCTTTTTTTTTTTTTTTGCATAGAAATCTTGTGCCATTAAGTGAGGAAGAGCAGAAGAAGAGAAAGCAATGGCAGTGGTGGTGATATTTTGTTAGGGCCTAAACCATCCACCAATGAGACTAACTCACCCCCTTTATTTAGGTTTTCTGCAGCTTCTCTAAATTCCTACCCACCAAAAATTAAAATATAACAAAAGCAAACATGTGAAACAAACCATGTTTCAGGAGGCATGCAATTTCAGTATGACGCAAAACTGCAGCCACCCCTATCTGCCTGTGAGTTGATGCGACTCCAAAACAAAGTTTAGGAACAAGTGCCTGAAGGTGAAGGAAAAAAAATGTAAGCAAATAATGACACCAGCATTACAACCACATGGAAACGGTTTTTTTTTTTCATGTCAGGAGTGACTTGAGAAACTGCAAGTTGCTTCTGGTGTGAGAGAATTGGCCGTCTCCAAGGACATTGCCCAGGGGATACACCGATGTTTTGGTGTTTTACCATCTTTGTTGGTGGCTTCTCTCATGGCCCCGCATGAGGAGCCAGAGCTGACAGAGGGAGCTCATTTGTGCTCTCCCCAGATTCGAACCTGTGACCTGTCAGTCTTCAGTCCTGCCAGCACAAGGGTATAACCCACTGCGCCACCGGGGGCCAATTCTCTCACACCAGAAGCAACGTGCAATTTCTCAAGTTGCTCCTGACATGGGGAAAAAAAAAAACACTTTCTGTAACAAATGGCATATCCTGTAGCTGCTGTCCCATCAAAAAGGGTATGGAAATTATGAGGGACCCATGGGGAGAGAGGAGGAGTATAATTTCATGGATTAAGTTGAGTAATAGAAGCAGGAAATAATGCAAACCTATGTAACATTACCTTTACAGTGATGTTATCAAGGATTGTCATGAGGAAAAAGAAAATATGCACTGTAAACTGAAAAGGTAAATGGTAAATAGCAGAGACACTCAGCTCAAACACAGGGCTCTCAGCCATCAAGATTTAGCCAGACCTTCTAGTAATATTGCTCTTCTGAATTTCCTGTTGAGAAAGTCCTTCTCCGGATTGTGTTTTGATATTTTTGGAAGTGGATATTGTCTTCCCCTAAGAAAATACTGACAGTTCACAATCGAGCCCTTAGCTTCAACTTTGATATCTCCTTTTCTTTTGTTTTCTATAGCCATTCTATCAATGTGATGCTTCTCCCCCCCGCAACCAATAGTACAAAATATAAACCTTGCCTTTACTCTAGCACAGACTATTCCAGATATTTCATATTGGTGGCACACTTTTTTGGCATGCATCATTTCACGACACAGCAATTCAGTTTTACTTGCAAATCAAAGGTTAAACCAATCCCTTTAAAAGACAGTGACACATATATAAATTATAATAACAAAATGTATGGGGAATATCAAGGCAGAAAATCCCACATTATCTGAGTGTAGATTCGGCTCACACAGCCCTATAACCCAGAATATCAAGGCAGAAAATCCCACAATATCTGCTTTCAACTGAGTTATCTGAGTCCACACTCAGATAATGTGGGATTTTCTGCCTTGATATTCTGGGATATAGGGCAGTGTGGAAGGGCCCCCAGTTCAAAGCAGATATTGTGGATTATCTGTCTCCCCCACCTTCTCTTCCACCCTTTTGTCCTTCCTTCCCCCTCTCCCTCTTTCTACTTCTTTCTTTCCTTCCTTCTCTTTTGTCTTTCATTCCTTCTCTTTCCTCCTTCTCCTCCCTCTTTTTCCCGCCCTCCATTCCCTTAAACCCTTTCGTCCTTCCTTCCTTCTCTCTTCCTTCCTCTCCTTCCTTCTTCTCCATTCCTTCCCTTCCACCCTTTCGTCCTCCCTTCTTTTCTTTCCTTCTCCTTCCCTTCTACCCTTCCATCCTTCCTCCTTTCTTTCTTCTCCTTACCTCCCTCTTTCTCCTTCCTCCTTTCCTTTCCACCTTTTCTCTTTCCTTCTTGCCTCTTTCCTCCCTCCTCCCCTTTCTCCTCCCTCCCTTCCCTTTTGTCTTTTTTTCTTCCCCCTTCCTTCCTTCCACCCTTCCTTCCTTTCATACTTCTTTCCATCTCTCTTCCCTTCCTCATTCCCTTCATTCCTTCCTTCTATCTTTCCCTTCCACCCTTTTGTCCTTCCCTGCCTTTTGTTTTTCCTTCCTACTCCCTTTCTATCTGTTCATCCTACCCTGACTTTTGACTTCTTCTCCTTACCTCCCTCTTTCTCCTTCTATCCTTTCCTTCCACCTTTCTGTCCTTCTTTCCTTGCCTCTTTCCTCCCTCTCTCCCTCTTTCTCCCTCCTCCTTTTTCTTTATCCTTCCCCTTCTTCATCCTTCCATCTTTTCTTCCTCCCTTCCTTCTCTTCCCTCTTCTTTCCTTCCTTCCATCCTCCTCTTTCTTCTCTCTTCCTCCTTCCCTCTCCCACTTTCTTCCTTCCCTTCTCTCTTCATCCTTCCCTTCCTCCCTTTCATCCTTCCTTCTCTCTTTCTTTTCTTTCTTTTCTTCCTTCCCTTTTGTCTTTCCTCCCTCCCTTCCTCTCTCCCTCTTTTTCCTTCCATCCTTCCCTTCCTCCCTTTCATCCTGCCTTCCTTCTCTCTTTCCTGCCTCCTTCCCTTCCTTCCTTCCATCACCAGGCAGCCTCTCCTAGCAGGGTGTGCTAGCTTGCAGCCCTCAAGTTAGAAAGTTTGCCCATGCCTGTTCTATGCTATGGAGCCATGAGAACTGTAGTTCTACAAGGTCTTTAGCCTTCTTTCCCAGAGTTCTGATGGAGGTCTCAAGATCCCGTAGCATTGAGCCATGGGAGTGCCAGTGGGACCAAACTGTATTAATTCCGCCGTGTAGCTGCCCCTGGAGTCCCTTCCCTGGTGCCCAAAGGCTCCCTGCAGCGTCCAGGCAGAGAGAGAGAAGGCGCTGCAACCTGAGCAGCTGCGAGGAGCCTCACCTGGGCGAGGGGCGGGGCCTCGGAGAGCCTTTACCTGCGAGTCACGTGGGGGCTTTCCGGTGAGAGGATGGGCTTGGGCTTGTCAGAGGGAGGGAGAAAGAGAGAGAGAGAGAGAGAGAGAGAGGTGTGCCACTCCCTCCCTCCGTCCTTCCTTCTCTTTTTCTCTACCTGCCTTTTCCTCTTCCTCCGGAGAGAGTGTCCAAACTAGAGCTCCCCAACTCCGACTCTGCTTTTCCCTTCCGAGGCGAAGCGAGGGGAGCGAAGCCAACTCGAGGAACTTGTTCGTCCGCTCCCCTTGGCTCCCTCGACCAGTTTGTGTTTGGAAAGCGGGGTGCATGACAAAAGGGAAGCCTTGAGGAAGCATGCGAGCGAGCTGAGCCAAACTCACACCCGGCCGGAGACGGGGATTCTGCCTGGAGACGCAGAGGGTGAGCCAACAGGACTTTCTCCCCTGATTTTGGGGGGTTTGGGGACAGGGAGAGGGAAGGCTGAAGGGTGGAGACCATCTGGAGTCCTGGGAGAAGCTGGGAGTTTTGTTCATACATTGCAGAATTCATGCAGTTCAACACCAATTGAACTGCCATTGCTCAATGCTATGGAGCAGGCATGGGCAAGCTTGGGCCCTCCAGGTGTTTTGGACTTCAACTCTCACAATTCCTAACAGCCGGTAGGCTGTTAGGAATTGTGGGAGTTGAAGTCCAAAACACTGGAGGACCCAAGCTTGCCCATGCCTGCTATGCAGCCCTGAGAGCTGTAGTATTAAAGAACCTCAGACTTCTCTATCAAAGAATATTCAGATTTCTCTCTATCAGGTAAAGATAAAGGCTTCCCCTGACATTAAGTCCAGTCCTGTCGGACTCTGGAGGTTGGTGCTCATCTCCATTTCTAAGCTGAAGTGCTGGCGTTGTCCATAGACACCTCCAAGGTCATGTGGCCGGCATGATTGCATGGAGCGTCGTTACTTTCCTGCCAGAGCATTACCTATTGATCTACTCACATTCGCATGTTTTCGAACCGCTTGGTTGGCAGAAGCTGGGGCTAACAGCGGGAGCCCATGACACTCCCCGGATTTGAACTTGCAACCTTTCAATCAGCAAGTTCAGCAGTTTAAGCCACTGTACCATCAGGGGCTCCTTTTCTCTGTCACTCAACTTCAAATCCTAATGTGTCACAGCACAGAATCCTGGCAGCTAAAGTGGTATCAAGCTGCATTCATTCTCCCACATTGATGCACCTTCAGGGACATGAGGGCACCACGTCACCACCTTGCCAGGTCTCCAGTGCCGAAGGTGGCTCAGGTGCCTTGGCTGAATTTGGAGGGCTAAGCAGATGCATCCTTATTTGCTCCCATCTCCAACAAGTCCAGACCTGACAGAGTATTTTTACCCTATATATTCCTGTATACATGTAGACATTTTAGCCAAAAGGACACCCCTGCCCCCCCCCCCCCAGCCTGTGTTGACTTATCAATGGGTGGAGTACTATAACTTAATAGTACTATAACCCTTATCAGAAGTGAACTCCACTCTGAGTAGAGCAGTGAAACACAAGAGCTTAGTCTGCCCTGGGAGGACCTAAAACAGTGGTTCTTAATGTGAGTCGTGAGGACAAAAATCTGGTTCACAAGCCTCTGTCCTCTATATTTATTTGTTTGTTTATTTTGTTTTATAGGTGAGATTAGGCAAGCCCCCACCCTAGCAGCTTTTAAGAAAGAGCTAAAAACTTGGCTTTCCCGATGTACCTTTGGAGAGTGACCATCCAACCAATTTTTATTAGTTTCCATCTACAGTTTGTTTACACGATGCACTTTCCCCTACCCCCAATGAAGCCCAAACCTCACTGCTCCCCCTTCTCGGGCTCCTCTTTTACAAATACACTTTTCCTACTTCCTATCTCACCCAGGGTTTTAACGTTTTTAACATTTTATCTTGTACATTTGGCCCGCCCTTTGTGATTGATTTTATTATGTTATTTTGCATTGTCTATTTTATTTTGTTGCATTACGTATTTTGTTGTGTTTAATTTTCTATTGCTTTGTATATTATATTGTTGTATTATTTGTGGGCTCAGCCTCATGATAGCCACCCCGAGTCTCCATTGGGGAGATGGTGGCGAGGTATAAATGATGATGATGATGATATTATTATTTCGCGCCGCTTGCCACTCCTTCCCTGTCACTGACCATGGCATATGTTCTGTGTCAAAAACTAGAGCTGACGTGGTCTATCCAATGCAATTTTCTGTATCAGCACCTCAAACCGAATCTAAAAAGTTGACCACAAATTGATTCATAGCTCTTTTCATACTAATGTTGAAGAGTGTTCCTTGGTCAAAATGGTCCCTGGTCAAAAAAAAGGTTGAGAAGCAGTGGCCCTTCTGCTCTCTCTGCAGAATGACCCTTGACTTATCCACATGTCATAACAAAATACATAAGTTTGACTTATGTATTTTGTTATGACATGTGGCCTGTCCTTGACTTATACATGAGGTCAACTTATACATGAGTATCTATCAGGTATGGGCAAACTTCAGCCATCAGGTGTTTTAGACTTCAGCTCCCACAATTCCTAACAGCCTACTGGCTTTTAAACAGAGGCTGGATGGTTATCTGTTGAGGTGCTTTGAATGCAATTTCCCTGTTTCTTGGCAGGAGGTTGGGACTGGATGGCCCATGAGTTATCTTCCAACTCAAGGATTCTACGATTCTATGAGGGCAACTCAGTCCTCTGACTATTTCACTTTCTCTTGGCTTTCCCAAGGAATCATTGCACGTACTCTGAGCCCAAACCCAGTTTCAAATTGACCAGCCAGGATATTGTTTTATGATGTTAATTGATTGTAATGTTTTTATTATTTGTTGTTATTGATTGGGCTTGTCCCTCTGTAAGCCGCCCCGAGTCTCTTCAGGGAGATAGAGGTGGGGTATAAAAATAAAGTAGTTATTATATTATTATAAGTCCAAACAACTGGAGGGCTAATGTTTGCCCATGCCTGGTGTAGTTATTTTTGCTACTTGCTGTGTGCCTTGTGCTAAAGACATACCTCTCAACTAAATAAGGTTGTTTTTTAAAAAAGAATTAAAACTCCTTATATAGTTTCCCCCCCCCCCCCCTAATTTGCTGTATTTTATTCAAATGTTCACAATATATATATGACTGGGATATGTTGTTAGTAAAACCGATCCTTTCTAGCTCTAATTTGACCTGTTGTCTTTGGACTGTGTAATCTGAATGCAGATACATGAATAAGAAAACAATTTGTGATTTTCTTTCCCAAATCAATTTACAATTGAGCAAGATGCTAAGCACTTTTAATGACAGAGATATTTCATTGCAGAGTTATCGTTCTAACTGTGTCCTTTTAAGTGAAGGCAAGTTGCTCTGAATCCTATTCTTAGAAAAAAGATGAGATATAAATCCAATAAACATTTTCCTTCTGTTTTTGCAAGGTCGCAAAAAAAAACACACACACACACACGCTCTAGTCTATGAAATCCCAACTACTAAGCCTTAACCATAGTATACTACTTAGCTTTTCTTTTTCCACTCATAATATCCAATAGTGGTACATTTTCTTCTGTTCACATCAGGTCAGGTGATAGTCCCGTCTGATGTCCAACCATTTCTTTTGTTAGTCTACTGCAAGTTTAAATAGTGGATTGATGTTTTATCTGTGAAGCAAACAATTAGATGATAGTTTCTCAATTGTTGAGAATATCCCTATGTTGTTGAATGGAATACTCATCAGAATAGTTAGAAGATGCACTTACTTGATCTTACTGCACAGAGCAGTGGTTCCCAATCTTTTTTTATACCAGGGACCACTTGACCAAGGACCGTTTTGACCAAGACCACTCTCCAACATTAGTACCAAAAGGGTTACAAATCGGGTTTTGGTCATCTTTAGATTTGGTTTAGTTATTTGGAGTGCTGATTCAGAAAATTGCATTGAATGAACCACATCAGCTTTACTTTCTGATATGGAACATATGCCATCCAGTAGTCACCATCTGCTTGACCACAGAAAACTATATTTAATAATCTAGAGCTGATGTGGTTAAGCTTTTGTGGGTAGTCAGTCTCTCCCCTCCTGACATCTCTGTTGCCTCGGCACTATAATATAACAGTTACTCTCATTGCTGCATAATTTTGAGACAATGGTGTAGTAATGGGGAGGTCGCAAACCATATTTTTGTTCTTGCAGACCACTGGTGGTCCACGGACCACAGGTTGGGAGTCACTAAGTTAGAGGGTGGCTGCAAGAGAGGCAGCGGTGGCTAGATCTCTGGAAAAACATCATTCTCAAGAGTGTCCATTTTCTCATTTATTTATTTTTTTGGTATAAAGTGAAACTATTTCGAATTTTCCTCCAGGCACCAATTTATTGATACTGTGGTTGGCTGCTGTTCTTAATTATTCATTTTATTGCTAGAACTTCTTTATATTTTGCTATATTATTGTTCACTGGTTTCTAAATAGACAATTTTCTACATTAAGCTTTTGGAGTACAAATAAGACCCTTTCAATACCATAAACACTATGGTCATTCAAGAAGAGATAGGATACAAGAGATATGTGTGTATTTGCCTTCAAGTCACCTGCTTGCTTATGTTGATCTCATGAACTTTACAAAATTTTATTTGGCAAGGAATACTCAGAGATGGGTTTGTCAGTGCCTTCCTCTGAAATATAACATTCAGAACCTGTTATGTTATGTCGGTATCCCATCCAATGTTGGCATTCTCACATTCCAGCTTAGCTTCCAAGATCAGATGAGACCTGGTCCACTAGGGGTTTTAGGTTCTTATTAGAGCTCTAGATCTTGTTATTTGTACAGCAAATAATTTCTTTCTGTCCCAGAAAGAAACACAATTTCTAGAAAATAACTCCCATTGTAAACACGATGAGATGTAAAATCCTATATTCTCATTTCAGTTCTTTTGAGTGTAGTCACATATGCAATCTAGAAATAGATAGTTTTACTGAGACAAGAGGATGAGTCAGCAAACCTGAGTTAATCCTCGGATTTTTGGAAGAACTCCAAGAGAAACTTTAGTGGTGGGAGGAGGGGACCTCTTGGAAGGGCTCCCACATCCCCACAAATAGCCCAGTGATGGTTGAGCATGTTTCATATCCAGCCAGAAAAAAAAAGTCAAATGGAGTAAAAAAATAAAACTGTCAACAGAAGGTGGATATATTAACAAATATAAATGCTCAGAAAAATAGAAAAGTTTCCACTGGTGTTAAAAGTGAAGTTAAAGAAGCTTTGGCATCAAAATCTCTCTATGAGGTGGGTAATATACAATGAAAGTGCTAAAACACAAGAGAGAGTTGCCCGTTTGATACTGTAGAATTAGCCTCAGCCGTAACTGCATGATTGTATTGTAGGAAAGACGCATAGTGCATTTGTCCATTTAACAGCCTGAGCC